AGGTTGTTCCTCCCTTGAGGAATCTTACCCGTCTCTGGCTAACCAGCCGTCTTCTGGGGCCATACAGGGAAATGTAAAGTTGGTAAGTGAGAGAGAAGCAATATTCTTTGAAAAGGTTAGCTTTTTACTTCTTTGCAGATTTATGCCCTGTGGCTTCTATGACCAGCATTTGTCTTGAGCTATCTTTACCACTTGGAAAAATTGATACTCGGTAATTTTCGATATGAGGCACGAATTCTACTAAAGGGCTGTAATTAGGAAGGAAGAAGAAAAGCTATAGAAGTAGCAGACGGAAGAAAACATGGGAAGATTGATTATTTCTTTGACATAACTTCTTGTAGAGTAACATAAGCATGTATAGGTTCTAACAACTAGTTTTTTGTTTTTTTTTTTAATCAACCTTGGTCCCTAAGAATTCGCTGAGTTGACTATATTTCATTTGTGGACATAATGATCTCGGAAAAATATTTTACGTTAACAGTCAAAATCACAATAGAGCTAAACTTAAAACTTACATCAAGTTGAACAAACTGCAAAAATTCTCCAATCAGCTCCTTAGACACAGCTTGCATGAATGTCTCCCGTTTTTCCATGGCAGAGGACACTGTCTCTCGTGTGGCATGTTCTGTAACCCTGGTGGGAAACGCAATCATACTCAAACTTTCATTTGCAAATGTATCTTTTCCTGTAAGATGTAGTTTGGTACTAACAGCATCCAAAAGTGCAGGAAATTCGTGTGCCATCTAGGTAGGCACTTTCTGACAATATTCTAACACAACACAAGCTGTAATATCTAAAAATGAGGTCCTTATTTTCTTCACTGAGGAGTGTATTAACATGTTATCCACTATGAATGAAGTTACCAACTAAGGGAAGAAAAATCCAGATGGCTCTAAGAGGCTCACCTTCTCTCTTTTTAGCACCTCAGCAAGATGCTCAGGCAGATCTGAGTCAGTTCAACAAAACAACAGGCTGATGTGATGTCAGCTGCTAAATCCTGGAGCCTCTCCTTCCTTAAAGCGCCATTCTTCCACCCAGGCACAGTCGCCTTGTTATTCAATGTAGCGCTGGGGTCACCTGGGAGCTTGTTAGTGTGCATTTGCATTAAGTGTGCCCAAAACATACCGCCCCTGCAGGGACAGAGCTCAGAGGATTGTGTGCAACCTCCCTCCCTGCCTGTGCCTCCCCCAATGAATCCTGCAGCTCACTTACACCGCGGTGCTAGCAGTCCCGTTTGAAAGACATCAGCCCAAAGATTAAGAGCAAAAAGATGGAACTTAGGTACAACAGGACTCCTCACTTTAAAAACAAATGAAACCTCTTACGCCCCGTTATACATAGGGCAATACAGAAAACTACTAGTACCAATGGCAACAATTACAGGGAAAGAGTCACCATAAACACAGAACCCCAGATCTTAGTGTCCAAATTGAACCAAGAAAAGTAGAAAATAACATGCCCACGTAAGTATCACTGAAGTCTGGCCACCTCATCCCTCACATCGGTTGGCTGAGCTAAAAGCACAACTGCTGGCCGAGTGGGCGGGGATTGCGGCCGGCAGGCAGCCTGATGACTAATAATGGCTAGTACCCCACGAGTCTAAAAATAAAACAGCTTTCCAAAAGATGCACTCAGGTAATGGAATCATACATGCCAAGCTGGCAAGTCTGTGAACTTCCCCTCTCCTGTAATTCTGGTAAGTTTTGTCTATTTCCAGGCGTGGGAACGGCACTGAAACGAGAACCTACTTCCTCTGGTCTCCCGAATTCGTGACTCCGCAGCGACCCTAGCTCTCCAAAGGGCACCACCTCTCAACCTAGGCTGCTCAGTCGGCCTCCCTGCGGCACACCGTCCGCTTCCTGTGCTATTCGCGACGAGACCTCGCCCCTCCTGCCAGAGGCGGCTTTCACGGGAGGGGTCCTCGCACCGCGCGGCCTCCGTTCCCACCGCAGGGTGCTCCTCGCACACACGGGTCTGGCGCCCGATTACGGTGCGCGGCAAAAGGACGCCCTGCCTCCGACACCACTGCGGGATGTGCTCCGGCTCTGCCAGCGACGGCTAACCCGGAGCAAACCATTCATCTCAGAACATGAGAGACCCTCGGGACAGGCCGTCGCAGGGCACTCGCGCTCAGGGCGGCGGGTCCCCTCCGGGGCCGGTCCCGGAGGAAGGCACAGAGAGTCTGTGCGCTCTGGGACCGGGTGCCGCCTCCGCCAGCGCCGCCCCCGAGCCGCCAGCCGGGGCCTGGACTCCGCAGAGGCGCACGCGGAGCCTGTGGTGCTGGAGTCCCGACGCGCCCGACCCCCGCCGCTTCGCGGCCCTCGCCCTGAACCCTTCCAGAGCCTGCACCGCGGCGCTCACCTAGTCCCCGGAACGCGCCGTTTCCCGCGCTCAGACCAGATTCAAACGCGCCCGCCGGCGCCCGCGACGCGCTCCGCCCGCACGTCACGGGGAACCACTCTCGCGAGACATGGGGCGCTGGGCCCCTCAGCACCTCCCCCCCCACGCCTGCTCCGTCCCGCCCACACGCCCGCGCCCCGCCCACTGCACGCCCCGGCCCCGCCCATGTGCCCGCGCCTGGCCTCTTCCCGCGAGCTCGGTCCCTGGCGTTTCCGTTTGACGTGTAAATTTGGCTTAAATGACAAACCGGTGTAATCTCCACGTAACTATAAAGACTGACTCCTAAAACTAGCCTCACTCTGTGTATCCAGCGTAGTCCATTGATTTTTTTAAAATAACTTGGGACCATAATGCTCTAGACTTAAAACCTTTTACATTTTATCAGAGATATAAATAGATCAAGACCATATAAATTAATTATAAATGTTAGTAAGTACAAACCTAAAACTAAACGTTGATAAACATCTTTTAGTGCTATGGCTAAGACTAGTCTTTCAATCAATTCATGTTTCCAAGGATGAATATTCTATTCTGATTTTTCATATTTATAAACTTAAATCATGAGAAAACATTCACATAAACAAGGAGACAGAAATGAAAAACTATTAATAGCAATGTCACTCAATTCCCTTAACACATTTCAGTATAAATGCCAAGAATCACATATTGACATATCATCGATTTCTCTTAAGTCAATTAATAACTTGATTGGGCTTTCCTACAAAGCAAAGACTGTGGAAACCACTGAATTTCACAAAAACTCTTATCACATCACTTGAAATCGGTCACTTTCTCAGTTTCTACCAAGTTTATCAAAAAATCCTTACCTATATACATTTAATTGCTATTAATTACAGCATACTGGTTACTCTTTTACCTCAAGGTACTTTTGTCAGCACATTGTTTTAATAAAAGCTTTAATCACTTGCTTTATATATGTTTTTCCCACATCTCAGGGAGGTCCAGATTTCACTCACTCAATTTAAGGAATATGTCTTCTAAACAATCCTATTGGTAAATCCAGCCCTCGTTGTCAAGCCAATCAGCTAAATAGGAATTAACTGTCAGAAAAGCCTGGAGGAGTGTTTCTAAAGGACTGAGAAATAAAGAGAGCATCTCTTGGGAGCGCCCGATCAGCCCACGTGACCACCAGGAACAAAGGCCCGCCCAGGACCTGGAAGAGGCTGTGCCTGGGGTGCAGAATGCACAGCCTGGGCTGAGACCCTGGCCCCTGGGGCTCGGCGTTCCTCATGAGGGGCGGGGGTGTCCCTGAGCCCACAGACTCTGGCGGTCCTGGCAGTCCCGTGCTCACCGTGTCCCTCGCCCTGTCCAGGCCGCCCGCCACACAAAGCCCAGCCCCGCAAGCCATGCCCAGGCCCTCGGCCCTACTTTCCCCCTCCGCCCCTTGCCCATGGCCTGAAACTCTTCCACTGAGCCCTGGGACCCTCTGGCAGCCTGATCCTGCACCTCAGCTGCTGTCTGTACACTCCACCTCCCTGCCCCACAAGGCTCTGTGAGGACGCGGCCCCTGCAGCTGCATCCTTCGTACTGGAAGCATCCAGAGTGAATTCTGTTCTCCTGACTGAACCCAACACAACTGGAGGTCTCCATGAGGTAGGCAGTGGTGGCCACCGTCCCGCTCTGCACTGTCCAGTGGAACAAAGTGGGAGCCACAGATGCAACCCTGGCCCCTAGTGCCCACACCAGCAGAGATAATGGCAAGTAGCATAAAAGTATAGCCTTTGGGGGCTGAGGGTCCTGGTCTGTCAGGAAGTTTGCAGCAGAGAAGCAGGGAGGCCAGTGCGAGCGTGGGCAGTCCGCCCATGTCAACAGGCAGTCAGTGTGCCACGTGCCCATCCCCCGACCACCGTGCCTGGCCAGCCCCATGTCCTCCCCCTCTGGACTCCTCCCCAAGTGCTCCCCCAGCTCCCGCCTGGGAACCAATGATTTCCATGTGCACACTTCTCCCAGCTCCGGAACTTCGCCCAACCCACTGCATTCCCAGAACGGTGCTCCCACGGCCCTTGTCCACTGAACCTGCTCCCTTACACTTTGCCCCAAGGGCCACTCAGTCTCTCTTCCTGGTGGGTCGGCCTCCTGAGTAAGAAGCTGACACAAGGTGTGGCCTAGAGGCACCCACCTAGGTGATCCCATCTGGCCCTGCCACCTGCTATCCATGTGATCTTGAGCAGGCCCTGGTGGCTCTGGGCCTCAGTTTCCTCACGACGCAGCAGGACAGTAATGGTGCCTACTTGGGGGTGGGTCTAGCTGGGGCTGTTCCCAGCTGCCTTTCCTTCCTGAATGCGCCCGCGCCTCCTCCCGAACCCCACTCAGCTTCTCCTGTTCAGCATGTGTCTTGCAGTGCGGCCTCCTCCCCACTGGCGCCCTTACAGCTTTCGTGTCCAGATGGCGTCTGATTCAGTCCCACATCCTCAATGTAAGTCTGGCCTATTTTAGATGCTAGAAGAAAAGATTTTTCTGAACAAATAAATCAATGAGGTATGAGATGATCTCTTTTCTTAAAACCTTGCAATTGGTAATGAAGACACATTTATAGGAAGAAAATTGGACCCCATGGCAAGGCAATGAAGGGAAGGCTGAAGCTGTTTGGAATATATAGGCTAAAAAGTTATAGAACTTAGCTAAAATAATACATTTGGTATTGGAGCAAGAGTAAAGCTCACTTAAAAAAATTATTTTATATTGGGCAAATAACACAATCACATGGTTCAAATTCAAATGACACAACTGTCCTCAGTTTCTTGAAGCTCTTTCTGGAAAGATTTTCTGCCTAAAAAGAAATACAAACTTTGAAATTTAATCATAATAATTGTAACTGGGAGAATAAGCTGAAACAATAGGCCGGGTAGGAACTTCACACAGTGCTGAGGGACAAGGAGTATCTCACAGCCTTTCCTCCTGACTGACGGGATGGAGCTGTTCCTGGGGGGAGAGCTGTTCCTGGTGGGTGGAGCTGTTCCTGCGGGGGTGGAGCTGTTCCTGGTGGGTGGAGCTGTTCCTGGTGGGTGGAGCTGTTCCTGGGGGGTGGAGCTGTTCCCGGTGGCTGAGCTGAACAGGACCTTCCTGAAGGGACAAGGAGTATCTCACAGCCTTTCCTCCTGACTGACGGGATGGAGCTGTTCCTGGGGGGAGAGCTGTTCCTGGTGGGTGGAGCTGTTCCTGGGGGGGTGGAGCTGTTCCTGGTGGGTGGAGCTGTTCCTGGGGGTGGAGCTGTTCCTGGTGGGTGGAGCTGTTCCTAGTGGGTGGAGGTGTTCCCGGTGGCTGAGCTGAACAGGACCTTCCTGGCCTGAGTGAGTCACAGTTCTGAAGGAGCTGGCTTGCGGCTATTTAGGAGGCAGCTGCAAAAACATTTCCTTCCTCTTTGTGGTTTTATACTGTAGTTTCTCTAAAAGTGGGAACTTGGGAAATGGGATGTGCATGTATTTGAACAATTACAGGAAAAGCAGAAGTACTTGGAAGGTGAAGGCCCATCCTCACCCCTGCCCTGGGGACCTGGGCTACAAGGCTCAGCAGGACCCTTGCTGTTCCCAGCCTGAGTGACCCCCTTAGGGAAGCCCTTGCAGAGAGTGAAAACTGGGCATCCCCCAACCCCAGGGGCTCCTACCCCGCAGATGATTGTGAAGTGACCCACAAGCTGGCTTGCAATTAGCACAAGAGCAGAGTGCTGTGGATTCTGGGAGGTCCCACTTTTATCCTTGCACTCCTCTGTTCCAGAACTTTCCACAGTGGAATCTGCATGCAGCCTGGGCGATGACCTTGGGAAGATTTAAGGGAAAGGTGAGCTATGAGTCCTTGGGGAGGCTGCAGAGCCAGGGTGAGGAATCTTGAGTGGGTCCCTCTGAGGAGGGTGAGGTAGGTGGCCTGCCGCA